CTGAAGAGTGCCGATTCCTGACCATGTAAACGATACCTGGTCCAGTCAGAGCGTGCGTTGACGTTTTGTTGCGTAGATCACCTTCCCCGGGCTGAAAGATATAAGGCAGTAAGGATGGGCAGAAGCGGCATGCAGTGGTAATGTGACAGGCAAGAGCACAGACGAGAGGTAAACCCTAGCTGAACCGATACGGAGACGAAAAACGGGGGGAGGGGGGGGCCAGCAGCAGGAATTAAAAGATTCCTTAATTAAACAATCCTGGATGAATAAAAGTTTTTCGTAATAACTATACTGTAGCAAGGAAGGGGACTAACAATTCTAAAAATCTTCCAGCAAACGGAAGGGGCGAAGTACCTTTGCTAGGAACAAATTAAGGTGGGAGAAAGCCAGTAGGAGAACAGCAAGGAAGCACAAAGCAACTATATATAAACAGGTATAATACGAAACACTATAATTCCTGATAATATAAACAATCATATACCATAGACGGGTATATACAACAAATCAAAATATACATAAACCATAAATGGAATAAGAACCAATTCTTAAAGCCATATCTGTAACATGCTTGTGTCCTAATCGGGACCAATCCAAAATTTTAAGAATGTGAGCGGGAACATTAGCCTTGGTCTCAATCCCATCTCGGCCTCCAGACGGGTGATAGAGCTGAATAGAAGCCAAGGAGTCTGCCTTAAGTGGCCGCTGAGTGTAGTCTTGTGTTGTCAATGAGCATCTGAAAGCCGCAGCTAGTGCGCCGAGAACTTCGGCTACATCTTGTAGAACAGGGGCAAAGTGAAATCGACGGCAAGGAACTAGCGTCCAGTAACTGTAATAAGGATAATATTAAGAATACAAAGTAATATCGTATATAACCGATATGGCGGCAAGTGCCGAAGAATAGAAGAAATTAAGGAAGCAACGCCAAACCGTAATAACAATACTGGAATGACAGTAACGATACGGAATAATATTAATACTACAATATAGCCCAGCAAATAAGGGAAGTATAGTAGTAATTAACGTAGGCCCTGGGCGGCTGCATCCCGGCGCCGCTGCGTTGCTTAGTAACACTAGAGTATGGGTGAAAACTCCCGTTAGTCCCTCCAAGACTAGTTGCTGGGACTGGGAACCCGATGCAGGGCAGGTACTCCAGAGGAAGGCACGGGGCGCGTTGTAACGATGATAAGAGGAATATCCGGCACGCATTCTCTTCCTCGCCGCAGTAGGGTGAGGGGGGGGGGCTCCGGCTTGTCATGGCTACGAAAAAGGGAACATAAGAAGCCGACGTTGTGCGCCAAGCCGGGCAGAGCCCAGGGGAAGGAATAGCAGTTGGAGGTAAGGGCCCCAAACCTAATGATAGATGAGGTTAAATTAAATAGAATACTATTACGTAGTAAGAAATAACAATGGCGAAGGTACAAGAAGAGTAAATTAGCCCAGAAGGCCGAATGGCCAAAGAACGTTAGCGACCGTATAGCCAACATCATGCTGGCTGACTGACTGCTGACCAACAGCATGATGGCCAACATCATGCTGACTGACTGGCTTATGCTTGCCGGATGGCAAGCATAAGCCAGTCAACGTACAATCGCCACCATAAAGATTATAACGAGCTGGCTGAAATAACTGGATGCCGAGAAGGCTACTGCCGAAACGGGTGTAGCAAGCACAAAGAAGTAACACTGCTCTGAGCTGTAAATAAGAGTTAGAATTAATATAAATATAGTACAGTAAATAACCAACGGCGCACAGGGAGATCCACGGCGGAAGTAGTATGTCCGACTGCAGGCAAATATGCTCAAAATAGACTGGAATAAGTTGACAATTAAGAATAGCCGAAGTTAAGGCATACACCTGGTAAAAGCCAATACTGCGAATTTGCAAAGTTAATACAGCACGAAGCTTAGGCTGGGAGGAAAGGTGGAACGCTGCAAGAGTTTGCATGACATGCGCGAGGCCATGCTAAACTTCTCTGTAGCATTCCAAATTTATCTTATGTACTGCCGAAACGAGTGAAGAATGGGTGGTCAAAAATAATGCATAATATTTAGAATATATAATGAGGGAAAAATGAGAGTAACAGGACGAAATAACCAGAGGAAAAAAAAATGGGGGGGGGGACCCAACCCGAATGCACTGCAACTAGTGCACCCTAGCTAGTGCACCCTCAAGATAGCTGAAATTAACTTAATGGCGCAAAGACAATAAGCAATAGTTTAATACAAATCCTAATTGAAAGACCCTTAATATAACAAATTAAACGTGAAGCTTAAGCGAAGCGTAAATTGCGGGAAAAATTGCCGTGTTAAATACGAATCATAATTGCAAGTCCAATAATAAAATTTATAGGCATGAGGCGTAAGCAATGCTAAATTGCAGAATAGTAATATAACTGATAACTGAAAGATTAGCAATCATAAATTATATTTTATAAATGGTCACCAATAATATAAATTATAAATCACCAAAACGGTGGACCGCACAACGACAGGGCGTCAAAGCTTAAGTTAGAGATAACTGAGACGGCGAGTAGCAATTCGCTCAGCCTAGCTGGCCTTACTTAATACAAGTGAAACGCAGCCATTTTGTCTTCTATCCTCGTTAATCCCTTAATCTCCAGCAAGTGACCTTTTCACTCCTAACCAGGTAGAAAGTACCCTTAGACTCAAAGCCTGTAAACCTTATGATCTAGGGTTTATAACTTCTAAAACAAGCTTACCTTGTTACAACCTAACCTAACCTACCCGACCTGACCTGACTTAACCTAACCTAACCTAAACCTGACCTAACCTAAACCTGACCTAACCTAAACCTGACCTAACCTAAACCTGACCTAACCTAAACCTGACCTAACCTAAACTAAACTGACCTAACCTAACCAGTGCTATGGGCACTATGGGCGCTATGTACGCTATAGGTGCTAAAGGCGCTATGGGTGATATGGGCACTATGGGCCCATAGCACTATTAGTTAGGGGTACTATAGGTGCTATGGGTGCTATAGGTGCTATGGGGCTTTAGCACCCATAGTGCTATGGGTGTTATAGGTGTTAATCCAACTTAATATAGCAACCCCCAATACCATGAGCCTCTATCTTTTTAATCAGTCTTTCATGTGGCACTGTATCAAAAGCTTTGCTAAAGTCAAGGTACACATCACAAACCTTTTACCACAAACCTTACCACTATCAATTGCCTCAATTATGCTGGAATAAAAGATAGCAAATTTGTTAAACATGAATGGCCATTTGTAAACCTATGTTGTGAATTATTTATTAATTTATGTTTCTCAAGATGATTTATTAAATATGGTAGACAATGGCTCGCAAAGCTCCTCTTTGCATTCCTTAAGCACTCTGGCAAACACTTTGTCTGGCCCTGGAGATTTCTTTGGCTCGAGTTTCACTATTTTAACAGCATCCTCCTTGGTAACTGTTAAACTAGTCGACCTGTCCTCTTCCCCACCCACACAGACTTGTTCGGCTTTAGGCATAAGGTTAACTGTGAAAGAGAGCGCCGTGCCACTCCAAGGTGGGCCTGGCATTCCATGGAAATGCGCGGTAATACTGAAAAGTATATGCTCTTTTCACTTTGGTCACCTCAATTCTCGTCCTAGGCTTTTCATTTTGGTATCAATGTGTTCGCAATAGAATTCTCTACAGGATTAAATGCATATAAAGCCCAAAAGCCTGGCATTCCATCTGCAACAAACAGAGAAAGTGAGAGCGTGTTACTTGGGAGCACGCAAGAGCAATAAAATGTGTACACACTTTTCAATTTGGTCACCTCAATACTCGTCCTAGGTCTTTCATTTTGGTATCAATGTGTGCGCAATAGAATTCCCTACAGGACTATATGCATATAATGTCAAAAAACCATGGCACAATCCACCCGCCGACAAGATGAATGTGGGCCAAGGTTACCTGCAAGAGAGCGCTGCGCAACCCCAAGGCGTGCCCGGCATTCCACTAGAGCGCGGTAATACTGAAAAGTGTATACTCTTTTCAACTTTGTCATCTCAATTATCGTTCTAGGTTTTTCAATTTGGTATCAATGTGTTCACAATAGAATTCCCTACAGGAGTACATGCAACTATAAAGCCTGGCATACTACCCACAGCAAATAGAGAAAGTGACGGAGCATTACCCCCGTGAGCGCTCATGAAGAACAATAAAATGTGTATACTCTTTTCAACTTTGCTACCTCAATTCTGGTCCTAGGTCTTTCATTTTGGTATCAATGTATTCGCAATGAAATTCCCTAAAAGAGTACAGGGTATATGCATATAATCTCCAAAACCACGGCACACCTCTCCCACAGCCATGCCGAAAGCAGGCCAAATTAAAATAATTTTGACGCCATACTGGGTCGTTTCCGAACATTCGTCTACTAAATTTTTTACCCCATATTGCGTTGTTACCGAGCAAAGGTGTTAAAGTTTATATTATATTGTTACACTGTGGGTCAGATTTTTAGATACTACTGTGCACAGGTGTTGAATTACACAAATATTTTTTAATTGTTTTATTGTATTAAAATTTTACAACATTCCAAAACTTCACCAAAACATCCCAATTGAGTCTACATCAATTTTTTTTTCCACAAGTTAACACACACCTTACTGACAAATCACTTACTGAGAATGTTACACAACTGACTTTTCTGATTTTTAACTATTTACAGTCTTCCACCCACTATTTTTACATTCATTCCCAAAACTTCATAATGCTCAATCCTTCACTAGTCTTTTCCACATTTCTAGTGAAGTCTTTACAAAACCTGTGTATTTTACAATCAACGTGTAGCCATGAGCTACTATACAACTGACAGCACCAGACATGTAGCCATGAGCTATACGACCGACAGCACAAAACATGTAGCCATGAGCTATATGACCGACTGCACAAAACATGTAGCCATGAGCTATATGACCGACAGCACAAAACATGTAGCCATGAGCTATATGACCGACAGCACAAAACATGTAGCCATGAGCTATATGACCGACAGCACAAAACATGTAGCCATGAGCTATATGACCGACTGCACAAAACATGTAGTCATGAGCTATACAGCACAAAATTTCCTGATGGAAATTTCTCAAGCCAACATCCTACAATACAGAACTTGTGATCACTTTCACCAGTAAAGTTTCTCACTTCACGATTTGCATTAACTAATACAGAAATATTTTAATTGTTACAAAACTAATTTCAGAATGCTAAACAACCATATTATAAAATCTAAATAAATATCTAATACTAAACACAGTACAGTACTGTATATATAAAAAAATATATATTAAAAATGTCTCAACATTGAAGAATGAGGCATTCATTAGATGCAAAAAAGAAAATTATGCTAATAATATTTATCTCTTCATTTTCTTTTCATTAGCCTCAATATCTTCATCCAGCCCAACACTTCGCTTTGCTGCTGAAGATTGCACCGACTTGTCTGGTTTTATTTCTTCCTAAGTGAAGATATAAATATGATAATTATCATTTAGACAATTACATTTAAACAAAATACAGTATTTTTCAATCAAACTGACAATAATATACAGTAGTCTGGTTGCTTACATATCTGACTTTGATAGGATGCAAAGCAAGTGAAAATATCAGTCAAGACAAGAATAAATAAAGAAGCACAGTAACATTTACACATCATTAAAGATGATCAAAAACCCAGCATTGAATTGAAGGAAATACCTCTTTCTGGAGGAGCCCCCGTGGCTTCCTGAAGCTATCTTGCCAAGAGTGTTCCACGTTAAAAGGTCACATCAATCATTGACGTTCTGTTTGGCCTACTGGGAACCAAAGTCAGAACCTTGCCCCTCACAGAATTGCAGGAAGTGGATGTCAATCCACCACTCCATCAGAAAAAGTCTCCAGAAAATCAACACAGCTTTACAGACAACTAGAGAGTTCACGTAAAATAAAGCCTTGAAATTGCCAAACTCCACACATGATTCACACAGAACAAGGAATTCACTCATACTAGTTCGAAACTCATTAGTACCGATTACCACCTGGTAATCGGTACTAATGAGTTGGCACCTGCCCTCGGTCAACTCCCTCATCTCGGTTCTGGAGTCGATGAACAATCCACGACAAACTAACGAACCTGGATAACGGTAGAGGGTGGGGGGGGGGGGGAATAATAAGGGAGCCATAGGAACTCCAGATAAGAATTTCATTACATTCAATGCTGGATTTCTAGAGGTGGCTCCCTGAAGCTAACCACAGAGAACAAAAATGAGACTTGCCAAGAAGGAAGAGAGGTGGCAAACACTACCTTGAGGTGCACTAGGGTAAAGAAGCAATCCCAGGCCAAAAGACATGGCCCCAAGATACATTGGAGAAGACCAAGGTTTTGGCCACATATTTGTGAATATCATGTGCCTTAGGGTAGACCATAGGAAGCTATACTTAATGATACTGCGGACAACCTGAGAAATGCGAATCTTGGAACAGGAAACCAAAGAAAGTCAATAAACAAGGTGTCTGAGATAGAACTGGTGGCATAAAGGTACCGGCAAAGAGCTGCGACCAGACACGAGTGATGCACCACTATCACTCGTGGTGATGGTGCATCACCACATACTGTACCATTGGCAGGTATGAAAAAGTGAAAGATCAACCCTTGAGAATCACACTAAATAGTACTAAACAGATGAAAGAAGTACTAAGGAATGTTATGAATTTACAAAGATGAGAAAGGAAAATTATGGTCATTAAGACAAGATCTTTCAAAGGAAGACAGTGAGAAGTTGAACTGAACCTCATAGAGGCAAAAAGTTTAAATGGGAGCAGGAGCAAAGAAGAAATAAATTATTTTCTGTGGAGAGCCCCTTCAGCTCCCCAGAGCTATACCGAGCTGATGTGTATATAAGATCGTTGCAATAATTAATCAATAGAGTTCTCGGCCTACCAGGAACCACTACCCAGAACCTAGCCCCCTCCGAGAGGCATGAGGAGCAATGGCCTATAGACACCTAGACACCCTCAGGTAGTTGGAAGCAGAATATGTCTGCCATCTACCAGGTCAGGCACACAGAAAGGCAGGAATCCCAAAACAGCTGGTTAAAATTGCAAACCGAAAGTCGGTCGAGCAGGCAGAATTCCCCAATCAGAAAACACGCAAACAAGCATGACATCACCACAGTCGCCACTCCCCCTCTCCCTGGGAGAGGGATGGGGAAGCCCCAGACCTTCCGCACCGGCTACCCAAACCCAGTTCTGAGGCTGTTGTGTTGAGTGGCAGTCGACTGCTTTGGCTCCATCCTTTGAGAAGTGTTGTGCCTTACGGTGTCCTCTGCTGTGTGATGGTGTGCGAGCCAGGAATAATTCAAGAAGTACTGGAGCTGCATGCACCTAGGGTCGCCTTCCCTGGGTGCCCTGTAAGTACTGCCCTTGCAGTTTGGGGTTACCTTCCACAAACTGTTCGGGGACTACCTCCGCAGGGTTCTTTTGCTGCTAGGTGATTGCCTGCCCTTTAGGTCAGCTGGGGTTTTTCTGTTTGGCCTTGGGTAAGAGGCAGTATCATTGCTGACTGGGTGCAAGGTACTGTGCAGCTGTCATATAATACGCATAGCAGTGGTTTGTTCCTCCTGGAGACGTTGTGCTTTTGTGGGGTGTTTCTTTTCTTTTCTTTTCTTTTGCCTGGTGGGTGGTCTGCCTGTGTGGCTGTAGGACCACTTGTATTATTTTGGTGGCCCTCCACTAGGTTCCTGTGATTGCACATGTTGCAGGGGTTCAGCTTTTGTTTGTATGTTTAGTAGGTTTTGGGATAACCAGTGAGCAGTACCTTGCCTGCACTTCCCTTAGCAGTCAGCCTAAGGGCGCTGGAAACCCCCATCGGGGCTGTTTTGGGCCAATGTATGCATCTTCTGAGTCCCATCTCACTTCGTGCGAGTTTGAAGGTTGCTTTGTCCCCTTGTCTCAGGGTAACACTCATCGTTTTTGCCACCGCCATGCTGCCTGTTCGGTCAATGACAACTTTGACCCGGAGTCCTGTGAGTGTTCCTTGCTTGTACTCCAGTTCACCCAATCCTCTGATATTGATATTTGGGTTATCTTGAGATGATTTCGGGGCTTAGCATCCCCGCAGCCCGGTCCTCGACCTGGCCTTCTTTTGTTACACATTCCCAGGAAGCAGCCCGTAGCAGCTGTCTAACTCCCAGGTACCTATTTACTGTTAGGTGAACAGAGGCATCAGGGTGAAAGAAACTCTGCCCATTTGTTTCCTCCTCCACCAGGGATCAAACCTGGAACCTTAGGACTACGAATCCCGGGCGCTGTCCACTCAAGCCCCCCCCCCCCCCATCAGGCACAGATTGCAGGCGGCTTCCATGTTGCATGCGAGGTTTAGGTTGCTGCAACATGCTAGGTTGGTTGCCTTTCCAGATGCCCAGCGGCTGCCCCGCTTGGCTTATAGGGATCCAGATTTGTGGGACATTAGTCGCCTCGACTTTGGTTTCATCCTTGCCCCCTTGTCCTTTTCCCTGCTGTGGGTCATTCTGCTCCCAGCTCCCAAACATCTGAGGGTTTTGGAGTCGGGGCAGGGCTTTCTTGGTGGTGAGACTCGGGTGGCTTTAAGGACTGTCCCTTCTGGATCGGCAGCAGAGGCATTCGAGCCTGTTCCTCCTGCCGAGGCTTTCTGGTCATGCCAATGGACCTCTCTTCTTCCCTGCTTTTCCGGCAGACTCTGCTTTTTCTCCAGAGGCAGAGGGTTTGGAGGATGGTTCTGCCCCGGGTCTTGACGTGAAGGATCTCGGGGCTAGGGGGGAGTCGACTTGTGGGGGTTTGGGCTCCATTTCACCCCGTTTGGATATTGTTACCTTTGGTCCAGGGCTTCTTGTTACACGGAGAGGGGTTTTCCTATCCCCCACCCAGTACGAATTTGATATGATTTCGTCTCCTCCCCGGGTCCGATTCCGGGTTCCCTTGGGTTCCTTGGTTCCCTCTTTCCAGAGATTTTCGGCTTTCCACATCCCACCTCGGAAGGTGCAGGAGGCCCTTGCAGCTTACCTCCTGTGTGACCTGGATTACGCCTCGATAATAGATCCTCCTCCGTTTGAGTTTGGCTCCTCTTTTCCTAACTGGGTGCATTACGAAGTGCCAGTCTTCCTGGCTGGCAGACTGCTCTTTCTTTTCGTTGGGGGCGTGGCATGTGTTTAGTCAGACCTGCAAGATTGAGTGGCGGGAGTTGACTACGGTTGTTGAGGTTTACCTGGGGGGCGAGTTGGAGTACCTCAATGCATGCTTCTTCGCCCCTGAGCTTCCTAGCGATGTCAGCCAGGTGCAGCTTCACGTGCAGGTTCCCTCCCTTTCGGCATCTTTGGTCACTGAGGATTTGCATGCCTGTGGGCATTTGGCTTTGGTCTTGCACTTCTTTTCCCTTCTGGAGCTGTCTTCAGACTGTCTCGAGGAGCATGTGGCAGAACTGGATTCTGGGCCAGCATCCGGTGCGGTTGCCTCCGCAGCTCTGGCGTCAGCTGCCTTGTTGAAGCTGTTTGCGACGAATCTGAAGAAAGCTGTGTGTCTGTTATTTGCTTCTGGCCTCGCGTGCCAACATGCCGTGCTCATTCATTCTTTGGAATCTGCTTGGGCCCTGGCTCCTAGATTTTCTTCCCATTTTTGTCCGTTGCTGTTTGCAGTCAGTGATGGTGCATTTTCTGCAGGCAGCTTCGTCTAGTTGCTGGTCTATGTCGGACTTTGGGCGTTTCGGGTTGCTTCCTCCGGCCTCTGGTGGTGTTGGGTTGCGCCTCCTCCTTCGGGCGACAAGTTCGTGGCTGGTGGTGACGGACTCTTCCCCCGTGCTCTATCGGATCATCCTGGAGTGGGTACGCTTGGGCGTACCAATTATCACAATAAAAGCAATGCAACACACGGGTTATTTACAGAACTCCTTCTCCATTTGACCTATTTATATTTACTCTATCACATCACTCTGCCCCTCTTTGAGGGAGCTAGGTTTTGGTCTTTGGCCCCAGTAGGTTTTTATTGACTCGCACGGGCCTGGTGTGAAGGAATAGAGTATGGAGCTAACCAGAGCAACTAGCTATAGGCAGCCACCAAGTGGCCCCTCCATAAATAAAAGAAATCCCTACTGGAGATATCTAACGACAAAATACTAGCAAATATCATAAAATTCTAATGAATGGTTTTATTATGATATTTCCTGTACTTTCAGGAGATACAGATAATGAGATTACTCAGGAAATATACATAAATAAATACAGTACTGTACCATATTTTTGGCATATTTAGATGTCCAGTCTTTGGCTGTGGCTTCATACTGTGACTTCTTTAGCTGATATTCTTCTGCCTGAAACAGTTTATTGTCATAATCAACATAGTATTAAACTATATTTTAAATGTTTTTAAGCTGTCAATGTTAAAAGTATAATATTTATATAATATACTAAAGAACAACTACATCGGGTGCTTTCAAAGTCCCAGGAATCTGCACTACAAATAAAATTATTGTGCATCCTTAAAAATATAATTAGTCTCCTGTTTTCCTATATTATTCCCTTTCTGTACATATATGGAGTAATTACTTAAAATTACTTAAGTGTAGTTACAGGAAGAGATCTACACTCATGGTGTCCCATCTTCCCAGGTACTCTTTGTTTTATAACGCTTTGAAACACTGACAGTTTTGGCCTTCACCACCTTGAGGTTATCTTGAGGTTATCTTGAGATGATTTCGGGACTTTAGTGTCCCCGCGGCCCGGTCCTTGACCAGGCCTCCACCCCCAGGAAGCAGCCCGTGACAGCTGGCTAACACCCAGGTACCTATTTTACTGCTAGGTAACAGGGGCATAGGGTGAAAGAAACTCTGCCCAATGTTTCTCGCCGGCGCCTGGGATCGAACCCAGGACCACAGGATCACAAGTCCAGCGTGCTGTCCGCTCGGCCGACCGGCTCCCAACCTTCTCACTTAACTTGCTCCAGATGTCTACCATTCTGTAAAACAAAACTTTGTAATATTTTCTCGGCACCTTTGTTTCCTTAGCTTGAATCTGTGTCCACTTGTTCGTGAAGTTACTGGTTTCAGGAATTCCTCTTTGTCAATTTGGACAATTCTTGTTAGTATTTTGTAAATTGTGATCATATCACCTCTTTTCCTTCTATCTTCTAGTTTTGGCATATTTAACCCTCAAACCGCTAGGGGCCCAAATGGAATTTACACCCACAGGCGCAACAAAAAAAAAATACAAAAAATTCTTTCGTCTTATAGAAGTGTTCATTTTTGTTCCCTGATCACGGAAAAAATAACAAAAAAATCGTAGGTGGCATATTTTAGCCGCAATAGGGTAGGGAAGTGTGGCAAAAAAGGGGCGTTGGCAGAGCCTTCGCCAGACGAGGTCTACTCCGCCCGAACTGTCAGACGGCAGTTGCCACAAATATATTATTACCTAATTATTTCAATGTCTCCGATTGATTTTTTCTTAGTTTTTTGCAGTAATATTATTCCATACAGTGAATTGTGGTATATTTACATAATAAAATGTGTGAACCATTACTGTACTCAAAATTATGGTGTGCATATTAGTGATTCAATTATTATGTTCATAAAACAAACAAATAGTTTTGCTGTTGTTACTCTATATACACAGGTTATATATAAGTATCTGCACGTTTTGTTCACCATAACGAACTACTAAGTTGGTCTTGTGAGTCAAAAAGCAACGAGGAGTGACCGCCACACACCTTCGAGCCACTCACTACCACTCCCTTCCTCAACACCACCTCACTCACCCTCAATCTCCTCCCAACAAGCACAAGTATTAAGCATCAAATGAGTCCTGAAAAAGCCAAGACAGAAAGGACAAGACAACCCAATCTGAAATAAAAGACAACTTATGAAAAGAGAGAGAAAATGGCAAAAAGAACGACAGGAAACTTCATACTGTCGCCGAGACAAAGTTTTCAGGTGGGATACCATCAACGAAGCCACCTGATCACCATACTAATTGTGATAAACCCACTTCAATAAGACCAGACGTGAAGAGCAGAGGAGAAGACTGTGAGGGAATGAAGATTCCCTCAGCTAGTTTTTCTAGTTTCTAGATTAGGCTAGAGTCGCTCTAGGGACTCTAGACAAGAAGTTTTCAAACTAACATGCACTTGTGGGGTGTTGGATGAAAGCTTATGTTAAGGACTGTCATTTAAGACTAACTAGAAGTCTGTGATTGCTCTGTAGAGAGTTAAAGAATTTTTCCTGTTTCTGTGAAATAGGATGAGATTTGAGAGTGAAGTGGTATGAGAGGGTACTTAACGGTTTTTAGAGGTGGGGGACAGTGGGGTGAACGTCGCCCCCCCCCCCCACCATGTGAAACATCGCGCCAGTCCTAGGCCTCCCCCTCCTTGTGACGTCACGGGACGCCACAGGGCGAGGGGCGCCTGTGATTGGTAGCGGCACCTCCGCCTCTAGGTGAGTTTTGGCGCGAACAGCTGTGATTGGGAGCGGCACCATGGAGTTGTGCCAGCTTTGCGCTGATTGGTCAAGACAAGGTAGGGGGAAGATATGGGCATTTGAGTTTCCCTAGCCCACCAAATCGGCAGTCTGGGCTGAGCAATGAGCTGGGGAGAAGGCGACTCTGGGTGGAGGTGGCGGCTGCCACCTCCACCCCCCGTTAATTGCTATGTCATCCTTATTACTCATTGTGCAGGGCACTCCTGCCATCCTGGGTTGTGTCAAGGCCCAATTTGCGTGAAAATGGGGCCAAGGAGTACGGAAGGAACAGTAAAAAGCTAAGAGACAGTTTACAGTGTCCACCCTTGAGGCAGCTGGCAGGCCTCATGGTGTATCAGATTGATCCCTCACATCAGGTTCGAGTATCCTGTCTATGTTAACGGACAATTGGTGGATAAGGGCAGGGCCTCCTAGTGTAATTGTGGTGATATTACAGGCCCCTGTTGGACTTTGAATTCCACCTTGTTGGGTCCACCATGTGGTGACGCCGCCGGCCATTGTCACCCCAGTGTACGAGCGAGGCATGCTCTGGTTTGATGGGGGTGTAGGTAATCTCCCATCCCCATTCTGTATGCCTGTGGGTGCTAGCCAGCCAGTCTGAGGCATCCCATGTGCGCGCCACCTATGTGCCGGCCACCCCAGGCCACCCTGGCCCCGGGCCGCGCTGTGCCACCCCCCGTGCATCAGCTCATCCCGGGTGGGCGCTGTGACGTCCCGCGCTACTCGTGGCCACCCCTTGGGCCACGCTTGGCTACATGCCTTGGCCACCCCGTGGCCACACTTGGCCACCTTCCCTGGACCACCCTAGGGCCACACCTAGTCGTCGCACGTGGAGCGAGCTAGGTGTTCTGCAGCCAGTGAGGTAGTGACCAGGGAAATGAATGTGGTGAGGATTTAAGGAGCCGTGAGTATAATAAAAGTTGTTACAGTGTCGAAACAGCCGAGAGACAGCTGTCTGTACTGTCGTCCAGGTGACTGGTTGGGATGTACCTGGAGATGGATGTTGTACACGGTACCACACTGTAGATGTATATAGATACTGTATATGTTGTGTGTAGACTGACTCGAGTATGTAACCGGTCAGTGTAGAGATTTACTATACAAGTGATCCAGTTCTGTCGATTCTATATAATCGTTCAGTCTAGATTAATGCCAGGTTACCGCATGTTAATTATATCATTGCAGAGGTAGGCAGGCCAGTGTTGCGGGGATGTCAGTGGATACCCTGAGGTCTGTGTAGTTATGGATAAATTTATCTGGCGATATAATTTTCATTGATTATGTGAATGCCATTTTCATGTGTTCATTTGCATGTATAGGTATGTACTGTGTTGTGTGGTGAGTCAGTAGATGAGAATGCTGACTGATTGCCTTATGATGTCATTAGCATGTGGGGTATGCTGACGGCATCATTATGTTGTAGGTTTGGGCAGTGTTGTTGTTGGTATACGTAATATTACTGCCCCTAGTTGCTGTGTTGAGGATTTAAGGGCACCTTTTGAGTATTCAGGGGAATTCACAGTACTTAATGAGAGCAAGCAATTGGTTAATTTGCCTAATTTAGAGTATTAGTGCCAGCTGTCCGCGTAGCGACGGTGTTTTATATTAATGTAAATTGTCTTGCTGAAGTAGTCGTGATTGCTCACAGTAGTCCCTTGCAACGGTTGCAAGATTAGAAGGGGCAGTAATGTAGGTATACTTTTGTTGTTGCCTAACCGTGTGTCATTACTGTGTGGGGGTACAGTAATTAATGTGTTGCAGAAGCCGCAACCGTATGTGGGTTGTGCATTTATGTTGTTATGCATGCCATTGTAAGTGTGACCTATGTAACACTGGGGTTACTCTGTTTCTTTAAGTTGTGTTGAGGACTTAAGGATTCAGTGAGTTAATTAATGGGAATTAACTGGATAAGGGGTGCACATTTATTGTTGAGTGAGTGAGAGCTGTTATAGGAGAACAGTGTTGAGCTTGTTGAGATATGTTTCGGGTGCAATTAATTGTCCGTGTGACAACTAATTGACCACTCTAGCTAATTATGTAATTAGCATTCTCATCATGAATTCACGTAGTGGGAGAGGATCTGTTAGAGTCTGTCAGTATTTGTGTTAACGTAATTTGCTCGAGACTACTGTAATTACCTTTCTGGGGTATAGCAATTTAGTGGCTCATGATAATTAGTGGAGTAATTAACGTCCGGGGTCTTGAGGACTCAGATGACACAGTAAAGCGAGGTCATGGAGCTAGCATAACTCATTATGTTAATCATATCCTGTCTGCAGCCCGTCCTCCAAAAATGGGGTGGTCAATGTAAGAAGACAAATAAGTGCAATTATATACTATTCATAGCAGTTAGGAATTGTACTTATTTTCACTTAGTATTAAATCGTACTGTCAAATATATTGTGAATATTTGAGTTTACCTGAAAAACTGAATAGAAAACCACAACCTCACCTAACCGTCTTAGTTTTTGAAGATAATAATTTTATTGCTTCTTAATTACAATTAGTACTTAACCTATAGCTATATTGATATTACAGCTTTATAAAACTAATAAAACAAAACTAAAATATATCAATAAATTGTAAAGTAACTCAGGATATTTTAAAATTTTGTATAAAATCTGTATTGTTTAATAAACCTGAAAACGAAATTCCTGATATTTAAAACTTGTGTATTGCAATTTGAAATTGAAAACGTCATCCTAACATTCTGAGTGTCTTAACAGAAAACGAGGAGAATTAAATCGGGGGAGGGAGTTGGGTAAATGTAACAGCCCCATAAGTGCAATTATGCACTGTTTATGACAGTAAGAAAGTGTACTTATTACACTTAGTATTAACAC